ACGCACACGATGCAGCATTGGCTATATCTTTGATGAAAACGTACAGTTAAGGGACGACTAGCATAGCATAAGTTTGTGAGGGGCTCAATTCAACACATATTCGAAGTAAACAGACCTAGCTAGCGTTAGCTAGTTGTGTGTCCTTGACATGACCTGTAATGATCTTTTCCCGTGGAGGAGGCTGTGCTCGCTTCGCCTGTGATTTTGGATGTGATATTTGGGCACTAAGTATCCACAAATCTGTGTAATTTCAGCCTTAGTTAGCTAGCTAGCTAGCTCCACCGAGTCTGGGGTTTGGATATGGAGCCTGCAAACGCTATTGTAGCTAGCGTTAGCTTAGCAAACACAGCGTTAGCAGCTAGTAGGTTACAGACATAAGTTAACTGGTTTAATTTCAACGTTTGTCCATTTAACAATGCTCTGTTCGATGAACCCAGTTTGCAATGTGGTGTTCCAATATGGACTCTGATACCGTTAGCACAGCTAGCTAGTGTTAGTTAGCTATGCAAACATTAGTGTTAGCAGCTAGCTGGCTAACATAGCTAGTAGACTACAAGCACCATGAAGCAGGTTTAACATTAATGTCAGCTTTCTGTTCCTTCAACACTAATCGCTTGACTTTGCTCTATCAGAATTGTCAGTGGAGATTTAGTTTGTTATAATAGAATCCGTTATCTTGTTAATTAGCAAGCTAATGATAACTGTTCAGCCCTGTATTGGAAAAGAGGTTTATGTTTGCCTGTATAACAGCAGAGTGTCATTGCTCATTATTACACAAATGTATTTTGCTCATGTAACTCCGCTGTCATTGTTGCCAAAATGGGGTTTACCTTATGTTTAGTCAACCTGCATTTATGTTAAATATCATGGTCTTCAAGTGCCAAGTGGTAGAAGTAATTATTATACATTGATTTTGATGCTCAATAATGCTCAAACCCTAGACAGGGAATGCTGATAGCCATATTGATTAAAAGCAACTTGATGTGACTTAAATATCATAGTTGGTTTCAAACCAAAACAATGCTCACAGGATTAAAACAAATAGCTAAATATGAGTAAAATAATATATATTATTGTAAAACTATTAAATTTCAGCCAAAATAATGCATTGTTATGTCCTTCCACATGGTGAGATAAAACATGAAGGTAAAGCGATAAAACATTAAAGTAAAACTTATGTTTAAGATAAAATGTTAACATGGTCTTTCATTTAATTGTATTTAAACGTCCTCTTTGTTTATAGGTTAAGGCTTAACAAGGTTGTTGAGTGCCATGTTTTAAAGGATTCTTTGGCATGTTCTAAGTCTCTGGTAAGTGCATTTTTATGATCCAGATTTGATATTTAAGGCTATTTGTTTTGTAAAGCTACTTTTTATTTATTTGTTTTATTGGTCAAAGGATTTTCAGGATTTTGATGTTCATATGTTTCTTTTATCTGTTCCTTGTATGCTTGGCAAGTTAATGTACCATTTTTTTTAAACAGTTGAAGGTATATTCTAACAAGTGCAATCAATATGTGCAGGCGAAGAATGTCCACAGTAAAAGAGAAGCCATCATAAAAGCTCTTTGTCCGCACCTGAATGATGATGATGGATTTCTAATCAAGGAGTACGTGGTAAGTCAGTATGTGACCTAAGCACATCACCATCATTCTAATTCAATTCTAATTTCTTACTAAGGTAAATTCATCTTATTTCATATTTGAGCTCTTTTAAATACTGTGTGTCTTCCAGGCACCTCAGTTCTTATATCAATTGCTTATAACATTTGCTTAATTAAATCAGCCCCTCCCATCTGTGTAGTAAATCCAAATCGAAACGAGGCATTGGTGTATTAGTATGTTAGCACCAACCATAGATTATAGGTGCTAGTGTGAGAAGGGTGAGCTAGAACTATCCGTTTTGTAAAGTGTATTTTACCATTGAATGGAGTTTTGTGGAGATGGGGGCTGATTTTATTTAGATTTATCATAAAATAAATATTTGATATTAAAAAAACTGTCGGAGGTGCCTGGAATTATTTAGAAGAGTTTAAATGAGAAATAAGCTGAACTTACTCTTTATGGAGCAAGAGTACAATGGAGTTTAGTATTAATAACAAGATTTAATTTGTAGGACATTCATGGTGAAGACATATTGAGAGACCAGCACAGCACTGAAATGGGCGTTTATGTCATCAGAAGAGGGTGGAGCTCTTGGAGAATATGAAGATGTTGACACTGATGGAAACATTGTAGGAAACATCAAATCAGTTGCACGAGAATGCAGTAATGCTTGGAGTGATCTATGCACTGAATATGGCTCACCACAATGGGCGGAAATACTGCTATGAATTTGTACATTCCTCACGCCAAAGGATGGTGCAAAGCTCTCCTCTAATATTCTTGGTTTGGAGAACAAAATCTTGGGATAGTCAAAGTAGGCTGTCTGTTCTGGAAATATATGGAACTTTTCACACTAGCTTCTGCTTTGATTGAAAAGCAATGGGCTTTTGAACAACGCTTAAGTCACATGAAACAAGAATGGCCGTATTTGTCAACATCTCTTTTAAAATTCAATGACATTTCAATGATTTTCTATACAACATTTGAAGATCCTGGTCGTGTTTAAGAGAAATTTGTCTTAAAACAGCATGCAGTTAAATTTTAGCGTCTTTTTTGCTGAAGCTGAATTTTCAGCCTAAATTTGCAAAGTCTAACAAGCAAAATAAGGTTGTGCTACCTACAGGCAGTGCTTTGACAAGAAGGCTGTACTCTGTAGGCAATATTTCTGGGGCATTGTTTTGATCATTGACGACAATTGGATATTGTATAAAGTCATATAACATTTAATACTGTGTTATTGTGCTGTTCTATTTTAAATATTTACTGTTGTAAAGTTGCACTTAAGGTTGGTGTTATCATTACATAATTACTGAATGTTACTTCATTGTTTCACAAATTCTGGGCCATTACTTAAGACTTAATTAATTGTGATTAAGGGCACACACATTTAGGTGAATGTGTTTATAATTGCAGTGTTCTGTTTGAAGCTTATTGTTGTATGTACAGTTGCATTTTAGCTTGTATTACCTGCAAGACAAGCAATAATGTATTGATACCTGTGCACTTTTAGAGAAGTATTTAGTCTATTTTTTACTACTCTGTTTTATTTTGTCTACAGCCTTGTTTTATTACTTAATATTCAGTGTTTTTCTATAGTGGTAAAGCAAATGTGTATTTTAGTTGATCTTAACATGCATGTGCATTTGATGTACCTTAATAAAGTCACTGTAATTTTTTTTATTGTCATGATAGTCATTGTCTTGACCATGTGTTTAAATAGATGGAACATTAACAAGTGTAGTTTAATTTGTGAAAATTAACATTTAAAACATTTAATAAACATTTAATAAATACTCTGTGATATAATTAAGCTGTTGTACATAATAAACATTGAGTAACTATTTGGAAATACATCAGAATTTGGTAGTTTTACTAAGAAGTTATCTAACAATCTACATAATTTAATGAAATAGCATGAACATGATTAAATTTAGTTAAAATTACACTTCAAGGAAATTTTACAAAAATATAATTAAGCTGACAAAACTTACAAGCAATGAGTAAATGTCATCAGAAAGGCATCAAATTTGAGTTGTTCTCACTAAAAAAGTTGTATTTATAACAATCTCCATAATTTGCCTAACTTAGTTAAAGTTACTGAAGTTATTGAAGTAAATCCTGCAAAATGTAGTTAAGTTGACATTGCTTATAGGTAATGAGTAAATGTTACTCAAATTATATATCTGAGTGTAGATAATTTAATTTCATGCAACACTTTGACGAAAAAAGATTAAGTAAATTCAAAGAGTCATTTTTTTGAGTGTAGGCTGTCACTCCTAAACAACAGATGTGTGAACTTAAAGAGTGAAGTATGGTGGAGTGTGTGTGGTGTTAGAACAGTACATATTAAGACATCTATATCTGTGTAATATTGTGATATTAAAAAGAAATAATGTTTGGTGAACTTACTGTATGATGATCATCACTGAATATAAAATATCAAGCAGCACTAAATCAGCACTTGCTCGTGAGTTAAATGTTGTGGGAGTGTATTTTGTTCACACTTCTAGAGACAAACAGCCAAAACAGACTCAGATGACCAGTTTAAAGGGTCACTCTGATTAACACAGGAGCCACACTGCATGCAGTGCGGTCACTGCTTCTGATTTAAAATGAGCTTCACTTCATATAACCGTGCTCTCATGGAAACAGAAGAAAAACAAAACCGTAAATAAAGGAAGCCTTGATCTCGACTGGTACAAACACAGATTAACAAAAACATTTCTTCTGGTTTCTACATACAAAATATCATGACCTGTGACTGGTTTACAGTCTGTTTTCTTCACTGGACAAAGTATCACATGGTCCATCTGTTACCTGAGTGTGACAGAGTAGAAGATTCTTCCTCTCTGAATATCAGACATTCATTTTTTACTGTTGTTTGTTTACTATTTTATTTTTCATGAAGTTTTTTTGTTCACAAACACACACGTCCATCTGGTCCACACACTCATACTGTATTTACACACACTGTGTCTCCCTCTGCTGCTGGAGCTCCTCACACATATTCAGAATCACTTCATCTCTTCATGATGTTGTCTCTTTGGGGGTCAATAACACGTCATCATCATCACACTCTGAAAAACAGAAAGAACCAAAAATAATTTTCAATATAAAAAATAAAATATAGATACAACACAGTATAATAAAGAATAATAGTCAATATAATAAAGTTTCTCATTTAAAAGATTAGAACCAGTTTCCTACATGTAGCTCAATCACAGAGATTTTAAACTGACTCACTACTACTAATCACTACTGGCATTTCTGTTTAGTCTAAGATCAGATTTAATGCCTGTCTAGGAAAGCAGTCTATAGTGTGTGTTTGTGTGTGTGTGTGTGTGTGTGTGTGTGTGTGTGTGTGTGTGTGTGCACATTTATCTGAAATCATTGTTGCTCACAATAGATCTTGTAGTCTGTAATGTTCATCATACTGAAGATCAAACAGCAGCTGATGTCCTTTCTTCCTTTGTTTATTCCCAAACAGATTCAGCTCTCTCAGGTGTGAGGGGTTTGATTTCAGAGCTGCAGTCAGAGCAGCACAGCCTTCATCTGTGATATTACAACACCACAAACTGCAGAGAGAAAAATGACTTAGTCTAATGTCAATATAAACAGCATAAAAAGCTAAAAGTACATGTTGATGAAGATGTAAGTAACTGATCTGTAGCTGATATCAGGTTGATCACTCTACACTTTTTACATTTTCAAATCAGGCTAAAAACAATAATACTATTTTTCATGATTGCTGTGCATTTTTATGACCTTTATTTAGTAAAGTGTCAATAATTCTGAATAACTGTAATATGTTCTATTCTGGTTATTTATGTTATCATGGTAAATATCTTTGTGTTCAAATAATTTACCAATTAAATGTACTTTTCATGTTTCATAATTCATTTAAAATGTCAATTAAAATAAACTAAGTTACTATATTTAGTACTATATTAGGCCTAAAAGTCATTCTGTTGCTAAATTCTTTAGTAAGGTCAGTGAATTAAAGAGGTTGAATAGTTTGCAACTGCTTGAAACAGATTTTGAAACAGAACCTCAGAGTGTTTTAGAATTTGAGTTCAGTCTCGCTCTCAAGTCCATGAATTAATGATCTTGGTCTTTTCTTCATCTCAACATAAACACATAATGCAGTGCTACTCAGACACCACTGTGTTGAGAATCTGCCGCTGCACTGCCGCCCTTCTCATGTTTAAAATACAATCTGCTCTCTGATTGGCTAATGAGGATAAACAGGTCACTGCTGTCCTCATTTAGCATCCAATCAGGAAATTAAAATATGAATACAGAAAACAAACACAACAAACAGCATGATGGGAGAATGAAAAGTCTCTGAGGAATAACTGCCAGATATGAGCTTCAAACCAAATTAGTTTCTCCTTTAGTTTTTTTAACAATATCATTTTATAAAATATAAATTTTATTAAATTAAGTCAATAATAATGAAACCTACGATAAATCGAGTGATAAAATCAATTTTAAATTATTTCATTTCTCTCTCTCTCTTTGCTTGTCTCTTTTGCATCTCTGTCCTCACTGATTACTGTAAAAGCACACATTAAACATCCGTTATAAAAGGCTGTCTGTACTAAAGCCCAGCTAACAGGAAAGGCAGCTACTCATACAGTTAATGAGACAAAATACAGCCTAATCTACCTGCTGATTTCTTAATAGTGTTACCATCAATGCTGGTTATCAGTGACCTTTCTCATGCTGGCTGTAGTTTGTTATATGTAGGTAACATAATACAACTTTAATTCCTCATCTAATCACTAACATGGCCAACTACGGAGCCTGTAGCCTAAACTGATCAGCTACTGGAGCTGGAGTAAAGCTGATTTAGCTAGCAATGCTGTGAGAGCTCCAAATAAAAAATGAATAATGGGGTTTGCATTTTACAGACGTAATATGTAAATTATGATCACAAACTCTTACATTTTTGCTATAGTGATGTCATATATTAGCCTATAGCATGTGTGCTGCATACCTGAACATCTAAATGAGTCAAAGTTACTCTGGTACTTAGGGCAGTGTAGCGACTCATACAGAGATAAACAGAGTGGACAGTTAAGTCCAGGACCGAACCACAGCTGTTCTGAGGTCAGCTGAGAACCTGTCACTGCTCACTGTGTAGCGTAATCACTGTTTCCACATTGAATCTTTAGAAACTTCAGAGGACTATGGACAAACAAGTCATGAACTAATATAGTAATTATCTGTATGAATAATATATTATGATTCATTAAAAAAGAACAAACATGAGAAGGAATTGATTTTCCTGCAGTAGCTAATGTCAGATACAATACATTTATAGAATGAACAGACACATTAACTTATTATTATTATTATTATTATTATTATTACTGATAACAGAATACTAGCAACAATAATAATACTATAAGCAGCGTCTGGTACTATAATATAATTTAGTAAAATACAATAGTATAATAGTTTAAATTATATGTCCATCTTGTGATTGTTATATATCAATAAATGTAATTTTTACATATAAAATAATAAAATTATTAGTAGTCGTAGTAGTAAAAGTAGTTGTTGTTTTCATAATAGTACTAGAAGAGGTACCTGTATAATAATAAAAATAATAATAATGATAATAATAATAATAATAATAATAATAATAATAATAACAATACTTTACTTGTTGCACTCAAATTAGCAGCCTTGAGCAAAACAAAATCCTGGTTTCTAAATTAATTAATCTGTCTGTTTATTCTATTGGCTTCTTCTGTAAAGTTACTATTTTGGAGATTTGTTTTTCTTTGAACATGTGTCTCACTGGGAAAATATGTCTTACTGAGGACCAGGTCATGTGTGACTCTCAGAGAGTTGATCTTACCTCAATTTCTCCAGTTTACAAAGAGGATTCTCCAGTACAGCAGAGAGCAGCTTCACTCCTGAATCTCCTAGATTATCATAAGACAGATCCAGCTCTCTCAGGTGTGAGGGGTTTGATTTCAGAGCTGAAGTCAGAGCAGCAAAGCCTTCTTCTGTGTTATTACAATCCCTCAACCTGCAGAGAGAACAATGACACACTCTTCACTCTCTCAGTTCAGAAAACACAGATCAGTTCAGCAGGAACTTAAATCAATAAGTTGTGTCTACAGTCATAAAACACATCTTTGTTATTGGAAATGTATTTTACTGATCAGTAATAATAGTAATGTTTTAATAACAAGTTGTACAGACCTGAAAATGACATGACAATTTTCTAATTATTTTTTAATAAGATAAAGAATGATAAAAATGTTTATAAAAAAATGTTTGTAATTTCTGAGCACATTGTCAGATCTGTAACAGTATTTTGTTGACAGGTAACACAAAAGGAACATGTGAACAGCCCTGATTCTGTGTGATCTCAGTATATTTACCTCATCTGATCTGTAAGTGGATCTACATTTAAGTAATATAACAACCATGAGTGATTATTATGCAGTAATTTAGTCTTGATGTCAGTATAATTACTCACATCATTTTGATGAACCGATATATATTACAGCTCCAATATCATTCACTTTAACTGTAATTACAGTGTGAAACAGTGTCTGTACATCATACTTACATGCAGTTGTCAGGTTAGTGCAACTTGGTACCATAATATTTCACATTATTACCCACTTATTGATGATGTTTTATTTATGTAGCACTTTTCATACATGCAGCGCCACAAAGTGCTTCATGGTAAAATGAAAGTTAAAAAAATGGGAGTTAAAAAACAAACGAGATAAAAATAATAAATAAAATTACATTAAAAATGAATTAAAGTACAGTGAAGGTAAAATGAAAAGATAAACAGGATGAGTTGCTTTAGATGTTTAAAGAAAATATTAATTAAAAAAACAAAATTATTTCCAAGTTAAAAGTGGTGAGTGACGAGTTCCACAGTTTAGGATCATAATAACAGAAAGACTCTCTACTTTTTCTGTAATTTACAGAACATTTACTGAAAGTTCTGTTTTGACAATCAGTAACACAATACAGTTACTTAGTAACCTTTAAATATGTAAGAACAAATTATGAACAACAATAGTAATTATCTGTAATGAATAAAGTGTTATGCTTCTTTACTAATGATCAAACATGGGAAGGACACAATTTATGGGTTGTTTCAGGACATTTAAGGTAAAGTATGTATGTAAACGTTTTATTTAATGACTAAAATAACTAATCTAGGCTTTCTGATCCATTATTTCATAGGGATGGATGAAGCTATTTGAATACATGAATATCCAAACTCATCTTAGTAACCTTACTTTGGGTATCTGAAGAAGGCATGTGTAGTGTGGAATAAAACAAATTAATAAGCTGTTCATTATCTTGTAAGATTAAACAGGTTTTGGACAGAGTGTGAAACTTTGAACTGCAGTGAAGCAGAAATGCACAGAGCTTATACTGGAAACACTTTGCAGTACAGATTAATTTTTAATAGCCTAACATTAAAATTGAAAGCAAGATGCTTCAATGGGGAAATTCTCATTAAAAAATTCTCAAACTGTAAAAATACAGTAAAATCTTTCTATGAGTAGATGAGCCCAAACTTTTAAGTGATACTGTCTAATAACACATCCCAAAACTGAACTAACAACAATAAATAATTAATTTAATTATCTCTTACAGCTTCAATTTCACAAAGAAAGACTCAGAAAATTTAAATAAGAGTACAGAAAACAAACACAACAAACTGTATAATGAGAGAATGAAACGTCTAAGACGAAAGAAAGAATCTAAGGATTTTGATTCCAAATTTACAGACTCTAACAGAGTTTAGAGAATATTCATGATCAGAGAACATGTCGTACTGAAGACCAGATCATGTGTGACTCTCAGAGAGATGATCTTACCTCAGTGTCTCCAGTTTACAGAGAGGATTCTCCAGTACAGCAGAGAGCAGCTTCACTCCTGAATCTCTGAATTTATTCCCAGACAGATCCAGCTCTCTCAGTGCTGAAGGGTGTGATTTCAGAGCTGAAGTCAGAGCAGCACAGCCTTCATCTGTGATATAACAATACCTTAACCTGCAGAGAGAACAATGACACAATATTCACTCTCTCAGTTCAGAACACACAGATCAGTTCAGCAGGAACTTCATCAACAAGGTGTGACTTCAGTCATAAAATGTGTGACAATAGTAATGTTCTGATAATAAGTTGGACAAACCTAAAATTATATATGAATTTTCTAGTTATTAATAAATACCATAAAGAATGTTAAAAATATTTAATAAAGACAAATTTGGTGTGGTTTGAGCTACTTTCTGAGCATGTTGTCAGATCTATGTTATATAATATAGTAATAGTAATTGCTGACAGGAAAAACAAAAGGAACATGTAATCAGCCCTGATTCTGTGTGATCTCAGTTTATCTATTTTACCTCATCTTATCTATAGGTGGAGCTACAGGCAAAAGGAATACAACAGCCATGAGTGATTATAATGCAGTGATTTATTCTTGATTCAAGTGTGATTACTTACATTATTTTGAAGAACTGATATTACAGCTCCACCTAGTTTCACTGTAATTACAGTGTGAAACAATGTCTGTATATCATACTGCGCCTGATCATTTAAATACATAACAAATAAGAAATACAGTAGAAACAAGTGAATTATTATTTTACAGCACTAATACCACATCACTTCAGTAAAAGTGCTTCACTGTTTTTGGTGTAATAATCCTAATTTTATAAATCATTTTAGAATGTCACAAAAGGTCATATTTTGAGTAAAGAATATATAAAATAATAATGTACCAAAATGTAAAAATCAGACAAAGGTAACATTTGGTCTGTTTTACTCACTTTGCTGAAAAACATTTCTAGTACATTAAGTTGTATCAACAGGATTTTATTTTTTTTATTTTACTACCAATTATTATTACCATTTTACTCCATTTTATTTACCACTTTAATTACTAACTTATTTTCTAATAACAACTAGAAAAATAACACACAGTTGCCAGGTTAATACAACTTACCAAAATATTAACATATTATTACCCATTTATTGCTACTGCTTTATTTAAAGAGAACCTTTCATACAGGCAGCACCACAAAGTGCTTTCCAATAAAATAGGACTTAATAAAGAAAAAACAAGATAAAAATACCAATTAAATATTTTAAAACAAAGTTAGGAAAAAAGCATTAAAGCGAAGTTAAAATGAAGAGATAAATAGGCTGAGATTCAGGAAAAATTCAAAAGACGAAACTGCTTCCAGGTTAAAAGTGATGAGAGATGAGTTTTAGAAGCAAAATAACAGAAAGACTGTCCACTTTTACAATAATTTACAGAACATTAACTGAAAAGTTTGTCTTGAAAATCAGTAACACAACACAGTTGCCTAGTAACCTGTAATTATACAAGAACAAATCATGAACAAATATAATAATTTGATCATCTGTAATGAATAAAGTGTTATTCTTCTTTACTAATGAACAAACATGAGAAGCACACAATTTATGGGCTGTTTCAGTACATTTAATGTAAATAATTTGTGTAAATGTTGTATTTTATGACTAATATAACTAATCTAGGCTTTCTGGTCCATTATTTCATAGGGAAGGATGAAGCTCTTTGAATACATGAATGTCCAAACTCATCTTAGTGAGCTTACTTTGGGTATCTGAAGAAGGCATGGGTAGTGTGGAATAAAATAAATTAATAAGCTGTTCATTATCTTGTAAGATTAAATAGATTTTAGACAGAGTGTGAAACTTTGAACTGGAGTGAAGCAGAAATGCACAGAACTTATACTGGAAACACTTTACAGTACAGTTATGAGGATAAATATGTGGATATAAATACATTATCAGATAGATTCACTTCACCCATTTCACACTGTAGCATAAGATACAGAGAAGCAGCTAAACTAATGCTAACATAAATGAAATAAATTAGGATAAAACGCTGCATTAGAGATGAATCTTAAATTGCAAGATGAGCTTGTTGTTAATTTTTTGCTGACAGTGCAGGAACTTCGCAGATTTTCACTAAGATCAAAGGTCTAACTTATCAGGTCTGCTATGACTGGCTGAACTGAATGTCAAACCTTTTCCAGAGCTAAAGAGAGATACTGCTGTCTTCACCATAGTAATGAAATGTCTGAGTGTAAACTCTACTTAAAATTTATGTACTTGCATGTATGTACTGTTACATTTTTTCCTCATAGAAAGACATTATATTTTACTCTGTAATCTTTTCATTCACTGTGTGATGTGACTATTCTTCTCTCTGTACATATTTATATTTGAAAAAAACACATTTATATTTGAAAAAAAAAACAACAAATAAAAGCTAGTCTCTCCTTCATGTTTACAGCCGTCACTCAAAGGTCGGCTTCTCTGTCACCTGGACTGAGTTTCCCTAAAAACAACCCATTTTAGTGAATAAAGAACAAACTAATGAAGAATGAGAGAAAATAAGGAGTCAGTTCTGCAGTGTTTCCTGAAGGGCTTCATACTGTGAAACTGAAAGAATGAGTATATAGAGCATCTTTGTTGCCTCTGTACCAGCACAGGAAAAACATCTTTAGTCAAAAACTGAACCATCAATTTCACTGATCAGATCACTGTGAACCTGCAACACTGACTACAAACACTTTGAACAGAATCAGGAAAATGAGGGAGGAAGATCCACTTAAGAACAATTTCCATTACCAAATCTTCCATTTACTGTACGATTAACCTAAATCTGTTTTAATAGCATGACAACAACTTTTTCAGAACATATAATTTACATGTTAAATGAATATTTATACCATTTGTACTATTTTAAGTTATATACAATATAAATAAGCCAAAATTCATTTGTCATAATGATTCCACTTCATTGATTTTTTTTTTTTTGACAAAAAAGTTTCAGTCAGGATTTGTTCTAACAATAGTACTCAGACAGCATTGGTTCATGTTGTGAATGACCTCAGGCTCAGTGCTGATGCAAAACATCTGTCTATTTTGGTCTTTTTGGATCTTAGTGCAGCTTTTGATACCATTGATCACAAGTTTCTAATACAACACCTTGAATATTGAGTTGGCCTCTCAGGTACAGTTTTGGAATGGTATAAATCATATTGGTATGGCATGCTAATCATTAGCTAGTTAGTAATTTATTTTTCTATCCAGTTTATGAGGGTAAGGGACAAAGCAGCTGGTCAGAGCTGGTGTAACATGCTTAGTGTTAGCCAATATATATACTTTTTCTCATATAGTAGTTGGTGAAAAAATTGTGAGGGATAAAAAAAGAGTTTTTTTAATGACTGAAAATGTACAAATGATTGTAGAAAAAAAATGGCTTTTTTCATATGTTATACAAACATAATAAAATAAAAAAAAGTGGAACTTAGCATTTACTACCATGTTTGTCATCATGAATTAAAGTAATTATGATCCTACTTCTTAATAAACATGTGGCATAAAAACATTTAAAGTTATTTATCAAATCTAATAATAAAACTAGTGGTTGACCAATTAATTGGCCATTTTGAGGTAATCAACATCGGCTAATGCCTGAACTCACAAGGTTGATAAACAAAACATGTCTGCAGACACATCTGCAGGCAGCCTTGTCAGTGTGGTTGCTATGCAACGATGTTAGTGCTCCCTTCTTGTGTCAGTTTGACCACTACATGTACAGATGTCAGTAGGTGCTGTGCAATTGTGGGAAACTGGATGCTGGATGTAATGTCTCCTGAAGCCCATTTCACACCAGAATCTCTCCACAACACTTGTTATTTAATACTGGATGTGACACAAGCGCATTGTGAGAGGAAAGCAGTTTCTGTTTATGTTGCACTTTTACATAATACAAACATATGTATTGTCTGTTCACTGCTTAAATAAACTTTATGTAGATGATCAACAATAAAAACCTGTCTTTCTGCCGTGTCTGTTGCCAGCTTTATCACCATGTGATGTACAGCTATATGAATAGAGGAGATTCATGTGTGTTCAAAACATTAATCTACTGAAGGGATTAATATCACCTTGTTAAACAGTTAAACTACATGTACTGATGTATTTATTAGCTGTGATTGTATATCGTAGAACAAACACTGCATTTCTTTACTGTTTATGCCTAGAAACCGCTGTCATGTGCACAAACCATTAAAATTATACCCAAAGCATGTTTTTGCGTTTCATTCACACTTTGCTGCTGCGGTGTTGCATGACACGCATGGTCAGTCTGAAAGGCTACACTGATTAATATAGGTGTGTACTGTGAGCGGCACAGCTCATCACTGCATCTGGTGTGAAATGGGCTTGAGAAAAAACAGTACGACTTAAATTCCCATAATAAAACTGTGCTGAACAGCTGGAGGAGGACTGGCATCCCTGAGAGATGAAAAATACTGTACTTACTGTAACTTACTGGACGATTTGGCTTGAACCCCATGCATTTGGCATTAACCCCCTGCATCCTCAGAACATTTACATGTGATGTTATTTCATGATAACACACTCCCTCTCATGTTCCATTGCTTATATACACTATATTGCCAAAAGTATTCACTCACCCATCCAAATCATTGAATTCAGGTGTTCCAATCACATAAATGGCCACAGGTGTATAAAATCAAGCACCTAGGCATGCAGACTGCCTCTACAAACATTTGTGAAAGAATGGGTCACTCACAGGAGCTCAGTGAATTCCAGCATGGTACCGTGATAGGATGCCACGTGTGAAACAAGTCCAGTCGTGGAATTTACTCACTACTAAATATTCCATAGTGAACTGTCAGTGGTATTATAACAAAGTGGAAGTGATTGGGGACAACAGCAACTCAGCCACGAAGTGGTAGGCCACATAAAACGACAGAGTGGGGTCAGCGGATGCTGAGGCACATAGTGCACAGAGGTCACCAACTTTCTGCAGAGTCAATTGCTACAGACCTCCAAACTTCATGTGGCCTTCAGATTAGCTCAAGAACAGCATAGAGAGCTTCATGGAATGGGTTTCCATGGCCAAGCAGCTGCATCCAAGCATTACATCACCAAGTGCAATGCAAAACATTGAATGCAGTGGTGTAAAGCGCCACCACTGGACTCTAGAGCAGTGGAGATGTGTTCTCTGGAGTGACAAATCATGCTTCTTTGCCTGGCAATCCGATGGACGAGTCTGGGTTTGGCGGTTTTCAGGAGAACGGTACTTGCCTGACTGCATTGTGCAAGTGTAAAGTTTGGTGAAGGGGGGATTATGGTGTGGGGTTGTTTTTCAGGAGTTGGGCTTGGCCCGTTAGTTCCAGCAAAAGAAACTCTTAATGATTCAGCAGACCTAGAGATTTTGGACAATTTCATGCTCCCAACTTTGGGGGAACAGTCTGGGGATGGCCTCTTCCTGTTCCAACATGAGTGTGCACCAGTGCACAAAGCAAGGTCCATAAAGACATGGATGAGCAAGTTTGGTGTGGACGAACTTGACTGGCCTGCACAGAGTCCTGACCTCAACCCAACAGAACACCTTTGGGATGAATTAGAGCGGAGACTGCGAGCCGGGCCTTCTCGTCCAACATCAGTGTCTGACCTCACAAATGCGCTTCTGGAAGAATGGTCAAAAATTTCCATAAACACTCCTAAACCTTGTGGAAAGCCTTCCCAGAAGAGTTGAAGCTGTTATAGCAGCAAAGGGTGGGCCGACATCATATTAAACCCTATGCATTAAGAATGGGATGTCACTCAAGTTCATATGTATGTGAAGGCAGACGAGCAAATACTTTTGGCAAAATAGTGTATATAGCGGTAGGACTAGCGTATATATTACAAATGTTGTAGGTGTGTCAGATCACAAGTGACTGAGAGTAAACAGATAAAACATGTACAGCTCAGTGAAACTTATGGCGTATGATGGTTCTGTAGAGGGTCCTGAGTGTGATGCTCCTTTTCATCTAAAATGCTGTCCAGAGAGACAGAGAGGAGTGTTTGAAGGCAGTGACTAGTTTGGCTGCTGCATCCAGAACAGAACACACTATAAATGTTAACATGTTTCTCTCATTATAAACGACAGCAAATCTAAGCTAAAACCGTTAGTGGCCAATGTTTAACATTTATTATGTTATTATATATAGAATAATACCAAAGAATGACATACTGTACCCCACTCTCCCTTAAATACCAGTAGCATTCAGAAATCTACAGCATACCAATGATTTTTTTATTAACTCCTTGATTTTATATATGTATGTATATATATATATATATATATATATATATATATATATATATATATATATATATATATATATATACATACATACATATATAGCCCGGAAAATGATGGCATGCCCACTCCACATAAAGAGAAAGGTGGTGGAGGAGTTTAAGTATCTTGGGGTCTTGTTCACAAGTGATGGGAACAGGGATCGTGAGATTGGCCGTAGGCTGGGACAGGCGGCAGCAGTAATGCTCTCACTGTACTGGACTGTAGTGGTGAAAAGGGAGCTGAGTCATAAGGCGAAGCTCTCTGTTTACCGATCGGTCTACATCCCGACCCTGACCTATGGTCATGAGTTGTGGGTAATGACCAAAAGAATGAGATTGCGAATACAAGCGGCGGAAATTAGCTTTCTTTGCAGGGTGGCGGGTTACACTCTTCTTGATAGGGTGAGGAGCTCGGTCATCCGGGAGGAGCTTGGAGTAGAGCCGCTACTCCCCCGCATTGAGAGGAGCCAGCTGAGGTGGTTCGGGCATCTGATCCGGATGCCCCCTGGACGCCTCCCGGTGGGGGTGTACCAGGCACGGCCTACTGGGACAAGACCCCGGGGTCATCCTAGGACCCGCTGGAGGAACTATATATTTTGTTATGTTTCTTATTTTCTTCTACTTCACTTCAAGGCCTATTTTATCTTTTTTTGTTTTGGTTTTGTGGTATACTGTTTCTTGTTTTATTGTTTATCACTGGGTTTTGCTTTTAGACAAGACTATTTCTCAATCTGTTATCTATTTGTTGCTTATTGAAAATGAGGATTCCCCACAGTGTAAACATGAACTTAAATATATATAAATATATAAATATAATGTTGATAATGACTACAGTTGAGCTCCTCTGTGCCAGATTAGAACCTGCACTGCACATGAACTAATAAATAAACATCTGCAACATCCAATCGAACCAATGCTGTGATTAATTTTACACTTTTAATGATCATGATGACCCCAATATTTAAATAATTGTGTAATGTGTTAGTAAATAGTTTCTTAACAGACATGAAAATGATACTAGAGAATAAATCTTACTGAGGACCAGGATGTGTAAAAGAAAGATGATCTTACCTCAGTGTCTCCAGTTTACAGAGAGGATTCTCCAGTCCAACAGAGAGCAGCTTCACTCCTGAATCTCCTAGATTATTATTAGTCAGATCCAGATCTCTCAGACCTGAGGATTCTGAGCTGAGCACTGATGCCAGAGCTGCACAGCTTTTCATTGTCAGATTGCAACTTGAAAGACTGAAAAAAATAACAAATTTAGTTTGACTGGTATTAGTAAAATTAATTTACTAAAAATTAAATGACTGCTGCAGCATATCAAATACAGGCATAGACAAATCTATAAATTCTATAAAATGTTCAGATATATGAAGGCAGTTGGATTGTTTTGTATTTACATTTGTATTTGAATGAACAAAAGTTTGAGTAATGAAGCAGTTTTACATTATCAATATGGTTCTTTTACTGAGTCAGTTTTATTCAGTATTACTTACTCAGCTGTTTTAGATTCTGCAACTACAGGCAGCAGCTTCAGAAGAACATCATCTGATCTGTTATATTTCTGTAAGAGAAATTTATCCAGATTATCTCCTGATGTCAGCAGTACAAAGACCACAGCTGACCACTGTGAAGAAGAGAGGTTTCTTTGGTTTAGTCTGTCAGACTGCAGGTACTGCTGAACTTCTTCAACTAGAGAATGGTCATCCAGTTCATTTAGACAGTGGAACAGATTGATGGATTTCTCTGCAGAGGGATTCTCTCTGATCTTCTTCTTTATGTACTGAACTGTTTCCTCTTTGCTGTGAGAGCTACTTCCAGTCTGAGTCACTAAGTCTTGTATGAGAGTCTGATTGGACTCCAGTGAGAGACCCAGAAAAAAGCGAAGGAAAAGATCCAGATGTGCATTCTTAATCTGTAAGGCCTGATCCACAACACTCTTGTGTACATCTGAGATTGTAATTTCTTTTCTCTTGAGGATCCTCAGTTTAGAGGACTGACTCTGTTTAAGCACATTTCTCTTCTGGTTTATGAAGGTCAGGTGCACATATAGAGCTGCAAGATGTTCCTGAATGCTCAGATGAACAAAGCAGTACACTTTACTCTGGTGCAGCCCAGATTCCTCTCTGAAGATCTGTGTACACACACCTGAGTACACTGATGCTTCTTTAATATCGATGCCACACTCTCTCAGATCTTCCTCATAGAAGATCAGGTTTCCTTTCATCAGCTGCTGAAAAGCCAGTTGTCCCAGTTTGAGAAGTATTTCCTCATCTGTCTTCTGCTTCTTTGGGTACTTTTCTTTTAGGATTTTTGTCTGAATGATAAGGAAGTGTGTGTACATTTGAGTCAGAGTTTTGGGGGTCTCTCCATTCTCTGCTTCACCCAACATTCTCTCTAGAACAGTGGCTGAAATCCAGCAGAACACAGGAATGTGGCACATGATATAGAGGCTTCTTGATGTCTTCAGGTGTGTGATGATTCTATTGGTCAGGCTCTGATCACTGATTCTCTTCCTGAAGTACTCCTCCTTCTGTGGGTCACTGAACCCTCGGACTTCTGTCAGTCGATCCACACACTCAGAGGGGATCTGAGCAGCTGCTGCAGGTCGAGAGGTGATCCAGATGAGAGCAGAGGGAAGCAGATTCCCCTTGATCAGATTTGTTAGCAGCACCTTCACTGAGGACGACTGAGTGACATCATCCAATCTCACAGTGCTCTGAAAATCTAGAGTTAAACGACACTCATCCAAACCATCAAATATGAACAGAACTTTGTGAGATCTGGATATTTCCATTTCTTTAATCTCCTTAAACCGTGTATGAAGAAGATCCACCAAACTGAGTTTTTGGTCCTTCATCAAATTCAGTTCTCTGAAAGGAAGTGGAAATATGAAGTGGACATCCTGATTTGCTTTCCCTTCAGTCCAGTCCAGAATGAACTTCTGCACAGAGACTGTTTTTCCAATGCCAGCGACTCCCTTTGTCAGCACAGTTCTGATGGGTTTGTCTTGTTCAGATAAGGGTTTAAAGATGTCATTACATTTGATTTGTGTGTCCTCTGTTGCTGTTCTCCTGGATGCTGCCTCGATCTGTCTGACCTCGTGTTCATTATTGACCTCCCCACTGTCTCCCTCTATGATGTAGAGCTCTGTGTAGATCTCACTGAGAAGTGTTGGGGTTTCCTGGTTTGTTATCACCTCATTCAAACACTGAAACTTCTGTTTCAGGTTTATTTTGAAGTCCTGAAGTTTTGTTCCAGTCTTTTCAGAGTCAGGTCTGTAAGAAACAAGACATCATGAAGAATGTTTGAATAATTTTCTTACAGAAGAGAAAAGAACGACTCCATTCAAGTCATCCACAATAATGTGTACACTGCTTTAGATATTTTATCAGTGTTCCTAATATGATGCATATTAACATCAGAAAACACCTCTTATGAACAATTTTTTTCCCCTCAGTGTTTTGAGTTTAGCTCTAATACTTGTACAGGTGTATTTTAATCTTGAGGAACTGTATAATTTCTATATTTAAAAATGGTATCAGTTTAGAAATGTCTGGTTACTTTGCAAAACAGCACAGGTGTGTTCAGTCAGTAATTTATGAGGTGCTGTTACCTGTATTCAGATGACGGGTCTTCATCTTTAAACATCTGTGGAGTTTCCATAAACCTGTCACTCTTCAAGAATGAACAGTTGGATTCTGGAGAGTCTGATCTCTTTCCCAGGACTTCACTAGAAAAGAATATAGAAATTACTCCAGTGATTTATATACAGTCTTTAATTCCTCTGTGCCAATGGCAGCACCTTATTTTGATTTGATAAGTTTTTATTTCAATATAAGCTTCAAATTGTTTATGAACAGAAATGCAGAGCAGAAATGACCTAGTTTGAGTGAAACTGCATTAGCCATCATGCACTGTAAACTTCAGAATGATCCAAGAGAAAATGGGGTCACACCGTGGAAGTTGAGTGCAAGGAAAATGCAGAGACCTCAACTCCTTATTGAAGAGTTATAAAGATCAACCCCTTGTTTATTTCAACAACACACCTCTTCCTCATCATCACAGAACGCACAAATGTGATTACCCCCTAGGGCAGGGGTGTCAAACTCAACCACTAAAAGTGCCAGCAGTGTTTTTATTTTAGTTTTACTTAACATTTTGCCAAGACCCCAACTGGCCACTGTTTATTCAAAACATGCCAAATGTTTCAAATATAAATGATTGAAATATAATTTTAAATAAAATATAATTTTTATATAAAAGAACATTAAGACTACATTAGCTGCAGATAACTGTTAAACCCCTTTAAATGTCTCCAGTGTACAGAAGACTCTTTTGAAAACTGCCCATTCACTTGAACTAGACATAATTTTTCTGTGGTGCTGTCCCATAGATCATTGTTAGGCAGAGTGTGGGAGCACACATTATGTTGCAGTGCATGCTGGGAACTGTAGTGCAGCTCTTGGTGAAACAGGCTAATACTAACAGAAAATTAAAATAATTTTGTGAGCTGAATGAGATTGTGCCACGGGCCTGACTTGGCCCGGCGACCTACTAACAGTGTGTGTGTGTGGGGGGGGGGGGTGTCATGTTCTCCATAAACCACATATCAGATGTTAAAGCATAGTTGCTTGCCTCCAAAACACACGCTTTAACTTCTTAATAGCTGTTTGAGAGAAAGCGAAGCAACTCATATTGAGGGTTCAGTGTTTTGACCACCTCATGGAAAACCTATTTCTCTGTGGTGTGAAATGATACCATATTATTTGCTGTGTATCTTGCTACTGCCTCCATGCACACGTTAATCTTTGGCTGTCTTTTTTTGTACTCTGTTGATTTAGCAGCAGCACCTGCTATGGTCGGTTGATGTAGGCTCATTGTGGGTTTAAAGTCTGTGGTTGGGGTGCTCTTTGACAATGGCTTCATTTTTGCATTAGCTAACAGGTGATGCACTTTGAGGTGTAAAAGGAGGTTTGATATAATGCCCTGTTTGTTCACAACTTTCTTAAAGCAAACAGTGCACACAGCTTTGTCCAGAATGGCTGGCTCACCATTATCATCAGGTCAAAACCCAAAAGACTCACAAACAGGAGCAGAGGCAATTTTCTATGTTACTACTCCTGGAACATTATCTTCACCACTCACGCAATCTTTCTCAGCAGTAGACTGACCTCTGGTGATGCATGCTGTGCACTTTATCACCTCAACACACCATCTCCATAAGCAGAGCATTTTACAGTATTGAAAATCATACTTTCGGGATTTCTAAATAACCTTTTATACAGAAATACCACAATACCACCCAAGTCTAGTTGAGTCTATGGCACATGTGAGTGAAGCGTGAACTCCACAGAGATGCTATCTATCAGCCTCATTTACAATGTAGCCCAACATTAGAACAGAGAACAAGAGACTAAAAGAGGAATGAATATTGAGGTAAAACATAGGAGTGTATCACAGAAGTAAAAAAACAAAATGTAAAAACTAGTAAAAAATTACGAAATTTACAGTAGATACAAAAAAATGTATCTAAGAAAATACAAAAAAGTGTGCTGACACTTTACATTAAGTTTCCTTAGTAACCTAATAACTGCTAACAACTGAATAATCAGTAATGTATCAGTATAATCTCAGTAATGAATAATGCATTATGCTTCATTATAATGAACAAACATGCAAAGGAATTGGTTGTTCCTGCAGTAACTAACAGAAAATATTTTTACAGATCAGAAATTTTAACTAATATAGTGACTAAAATGAAGTAATATAGTAACTAAGATTAAGGGTAAGGTTAACTGACATTAACTGATATAAACACTATTATTAACTAATATAGTGGCAACCAGGCACAGATAATGAACCCTCATTAAATATATCATTAAGAAACTAAATACTGAAAACAGAACGTGTGTTGTGTTACTTCATGAATGAATAATGAACATGAGGTGAAGGAAAATTAATGAATAAATGTAACAAAGAGTGAAAGATGAAGCTCTACTGTAACAGTCAGGAGCTGATGTGCTTCAGGAGAGGGTTAATACTCAAACAGAATCAACACGATTTCACGTTTATGTGGAAATCAGAATGATCGAGCAGCAGGTCAGAGGGTTTATACTGTGCTGATCATTCTGGGTTTGCTTCCTTAAATTTTTATGTTCTCAAGAACGTCAAGCAAAGTTTGCCCCCCGAAACTCTTTGATAATTTAGTGACTAACAGACAGATTCATTACTCTCAAAGTGCTACTTTATTTGTGTTTCACCTGCAGGTTTGCAAAAAGCCAAAGGCAGTAAAATTGAGTAAAAAAACAAAAAGTGAATAAAACTGATTAACGGTAATGCTACTATGAATAATAATACAATTAGCTTGTAATTATCACAATAATTTACATTGTTAATAATAATAATGATCATAATATTACAATTTTGTGTTATACATTGAATGTTAATATGTTGTAATGTAAAACTATAGTTTTAATATTATATTATATTGTATTATATTACATTATAAAGGCTTGGCAGAGCTCTTTTTGATCAGAGATTTGATGGTCTTTAAGTGAGATGTGCAATGGAAGGGTAACAGAGTTGTCACTGAATGAAATAACCGCCTTCCAGAGCTTGAAGGAATTAAGGGAAATATCTGATAATAAGTGAAGATAATATTCTGATTTAGCATTTCTGACAGAGGAGGTACATTTATTCCTCAGCTGCCTAAATGTAAGCCAGTGTTCTGTGTACCCAGTTCGTCTGGCCAGGGCCCATCATTTATTTTTTACTTTAAGCAAAGAGGATGTGAACCAGGGACTAGATCTATCCTGAATTCTGAAATTTTTAAAATGGGTATGCTTCTCAACACCGACAACAAATGTTTTACTAAAATTATATAGTGCCAAGTCGGGAGCTGGTATTTCTGATGTGTAATGGATAACACTAACCTCGAACACTAACCTTCTAACCACCATCTGAGAGCCTGCCGTTTTCCGGCAGTGCTCACTAAAAGCAAGGTTGAATATAGTAACTTTGTCGTTTCTGTTGGATAGAATTAAATCAAGGTAGACGTAGTAGGATCCGTAATGTTGGGTCTAGTTGGTTCAGTAATCAGTTGTGTTAGGGAGAGATTATCTCATATTTCGTTTACATAACTGGATTCATTAGACAACCAGCTAAGAATAAAACTGTTTAGGAGGATAAAAGGAGGCCTGTAGATCCCTGCTGAAATGAGTTATTCTGCCCTGAGCACACCTTCATGGCTAGAAATTCAAAGCATCTCTGTAGAGACTAAAGAGTTTTGGCTTGGATATTAGTTCTAATGTAAATAGCTACATGATCACCCCACAAAACTATAACGATTCTAATCAAACAGGGCTACTTCAGAATCACTTACAGACTGTCAGAGCCAGGTTTCCACAACATCTGGGTCAAACTGTGAGATCAGTATTTTTAGGTGATTGAAATTAACACAATGCAATAGATCCTAATGATTAAATAAATTAGATCTAGATCTTTCCTCTGTTTAAAATTGGTGGAATCTGTTAAAAGGTTAGTTTTAGGTATAGCTTTTGAGATCTGAGAGACTAGTGGGGTGATAGAGAAGAGTTGATGCAGATAAGATTTATTGAGTTATAAAAAAAGTTAAAATTCCCTTTGTGCTCTGCACTCTTGGCTGCGTTGCTGATCCTAGATTATTAATAGTAACAGCAGGGATGGCTGAGTAACATTTCTGAGACAGAGTCATTTAAGGTTAAGAACAGAATAAAATACATTGTAACATAAAATCTTTAAGCCAATGGGGATGGATCCTATAAAAATAGAGACGGTTCTAGAAAATATAAAAATTGTCAATAAAAGTAATTTTATTTACTAGACAAGCTTCCTGAAGCCAGCTGTGTAGACTCAAAATGTAGCTAAAATGCCCCAACCTTTTCCCAGTGATATGGATGGGACCAGATTTTTTTTTTTTATCACAAATTCTTAAGGATGAAAAGAGTCACATAAAGTCCTGTTTCAGGATTCAGATTTTTCATCCCTAATACTGTTACTGTAAGGTGCTGTTACTAGTTCTAGTCACCAGGGGGCTAACATTTAAAAATATCTAACATCTGTCAGTGTTTTGGACAGATTACCCCTGGATAATATGTTATGTTCAGTTAGTTGTCCAAATTAGTACATATTTTTGTGCAATTTTTGTGTTTTGTTTAAATATTGCAAGCTAAAAGAATGTGTTGGTATACTAGTTGCTAAGCTCATTTGTTTTATCAGTTTTATTTTAATGTCACCTGTTTTACATGTAGGCTTGGGAATTTAAACTGTTTAAGCAGTATATATATATTTTTTTTATTTAAAAGAGCGCTGTGAATGCCACCGAGTGCAACGTACATTTTAAATTGAAGAAACTGTGAATGTTAGCTGAGACTTTCATTTAGTGTAAGTTAGAAGTGGGAAAAACTGGGCTTATTTGACAGTATTGTGTGCTTCCTTGAAGATATGCCAAGCTGCTGTCTGAGTCTGACAATAAAACAGTGCCACCAGCTGATTGCACCACATTCCTGCGCTTTCTGGTCCCTTTTATTAACATCAAATCACAACGCAGAGCCCAGCTGGGGAGCCATGTAGAGAGAAAGAAAGGGTTACATTACATTGAACATGAATGATAACATTGTGAACGCTTGGGTAAGGGAAGCTACTGCATGATGTCACTGACCTTGGCAACAGAAAAGGAGCAAGTAATTGCAA